GGAAAGAACATAAATGATAATCTAAAACTGGTATAAGGATGATGTGTTTGTTCAAATTAGGGTTTATTTTATCTTCTAATGATTTATTTATATATTTATTTATTTCAATTATGTGTCTTGTTTGGCTTTTTGTTCTGTAAAGGAAGTCGTTTGTAGCCTTTCGCATTTGCATCCCTTTCCTCGTGTAATAGTTTGCAGTGGGACATATTACTGTGCGCTCTCCGCTTTTGATCTCTGACAGTGTGTTAAAGTCAAAAGGCTGGGCTTTGTGAATATTTCATGAAGAGTGGGAAGATTTCTCTTTAATGGCCTGTTAATCAGTCTGTTTAGTGTATTTTGGCAAGACGCTCCGGCGGCTCGATGTGGAGCAGCCTCGTACTGTTTATACTCGGAGCGTTTTCTGCATAATGATATCTGACGTGCAGGTTTGTTTATGCTCTTGGTTCGGTCCCATCCAGTTTGCTGCACATTTCAGGACGTTTGGCACAGATTYGTGCTGCTGGGATCTCTGGAGAGCCAAAGTGTGCCGCTTTCACTGCTGATTCTCCAGCACAACAGTTTGCAGGAATATCACCTCCTCTTCTTCTTCGCCTTGGTAGACCCTTGTTTTATTGTTTTTGTTTGTTTGCTTGTTCTTAACAGCCGAGGAAGTGGAGAGGCTGGCAGCCATGCGCTCCGAGTCCCTGGTTTCGGGCACCCACACTCCCCCCATCCGCCACAGGAGCAAGTTTGCTACTCTGGGGCGACTCCTCAAACCCTGGAAGTGGAGAAAGAAGAAGAGTGAGAAGTTCAAGCAGACTTCTGCAGGTGTGTGACAGATTTCTATTTTGTACTGTTATTTTGGAGGGGATGCAGAAACAGCAAAAAAAAAAAAAATGTGTGAGACTTGTTAGGGCAATCTTAATCAAAATCATTACTTGGTTGGAATTAAGGATGTCCTGATCAAGACTGTTCATCCTTAATACCAATCTGAGTAATTTGATTGATTGATACCAAGTCAACATTGTCAACATTACCCTTATTAGAAATCATTGTAAACAAGCTATTTGCAATATTTTGCTAATTTTGAACAATTTTCGATCTTCATTGCTCCTGTTTTAGCGCCGTCATGTTTGATTGGCCACAGGACATATATGGGTAAAGGCGAGAATACAGCTGAAGACTAGACAGTTAAAATTCATAGCCACTGTCTTGGTCTTTGCGGTCCTTCGAAGGACTCGGCCAACCCTCCCCTGATTTTGGTCTGAGGTCTTCTTATAGTTTTATTGAAATATTTTGTAATACTTTGGATATTTTGGATTATTTTGTTTGTTTTTTTGATTTTTAAATTCTGTAGCCTTGGTAACATATACTACAACCAATGAATTTGGATATTCGGYGTATACAGTGTCGTGCTTATCGGTCTCTTTCAGCCCATTGTTGATGGGGGCAGAAGGAGGACATGGTGCCTGTGTTTATTTCTGATGGCTGACACATCTTGAACTTGTCTGGACTGGAGGAGGCAGTTTGTCAGACTCTGTATCCCAGGCTGGAAGCAAAGTTGTTGCCTTTGCAGTGGATGAGCAATTACCTCCCAATCCAGTCCGAACAGGACGTGATGTTCTGGTTTGGTAATGTGAAATTAACAGTCCCCCCCTTAAGCGAATTTGCCGAGATGCTCAGACTCTGTCTTGCAAAATGKTGCTATTTTTACTTATCAGAAACAGTCAACAGATATTTCTTGAACTTTGTGTTTCTTCTGCCTTTCAGAAAAAGGTTTGTGTTTAAATTGAAGCGTTTTAGTCGCAARTTTAGTTGCTTGACTCGTTTATGTTGTTGCAGTGGAGAATCTACTTGATAAAGCCCATCATGAAGTTGCTGAATCCTCATTGGCACATTTGTTTTGTATCTTTCATGATAACAGCATCTCCCTTTTGTGGTGAAGGACAATGATCAAGAGCTGAGCAACAAAAGACGTTGTTGTTTTTTTTTCCTGACTGTTAATACACAGTGGAGTTGAGTGAAATGGCTCTTTTCATTGCTTTTGTTATCCACTTGTTTTTCAGAATGCTGCTGTCTCCAAATATTGCATTGTTTTAATAAATCCTTTTGAAAAAGCCGACGATGACCGGCTGTATTTCACAGTTGCCTCAAAGCTGAGTTTCCCTTGTTTTAAGTTACAAATGGTCTCCTGAGTAAAAGCTCAGGCGGGCCACTTCAACCACTTGCCATGTTTTTGTGGTTTAGGCGGCACAATGCTCTGTCACATCCATTTTTCGCATGAAGCATGACACCAACTTTTAAAGCTCCAAATGTAGGTTGGAGGACTGCGCCTCTGCAGAAAGCGGTGCCAGTGCAGTGAATTTAAATGGAAGAAAGTGGAGCATGCAGGTACTGTGAACCATTCTGTTTAGAGTCAACGCAAGTCAAGATGGCTGCCAACTGACCTTGGAGAACACAATGTCTTTTACACATTCAATTTAAAGATAATCRGCTAAMATTTTGTGTTTGRTTTGTAAGCATCRTCCTAATTGCACATTTATGGAACGCATCATGTGACATATAGGCTGAAAACTTGGGCATTAACTATTCAAGTCCCTGTATGCAGGGMCGGCCTGTGGAATAGGCAGTATAGGCAAATACTAATGACATCATCCATTTAGGAGGCACCACAAATGGAAGCCAAAAATATATATATCTTAATAACCTTTTATCAGAGAATAGTTGATTTTAGTTTGTTTCAGTTATGACCTCAGATAAAGTTCAGGTGAAAGTCTGGTTTTCAGTGTTCTACCTTCATAAAATACTGATTTCTGTTTTATTAATCCCAAGAATTTTGTAAAATGCTCTTAAAGTGGCTGGAAAATGCATAGTTTT